AGGAAGAATGTATGCAATGTGTTAATTATTGAAACTGTCCTACCAATTTGATTTGAAACTGTCTCATTGCTATTTGTTTCTCAATAAAATTATGGAAATAAAATTCATATATCCCATCTTGCATAACTAGATTATAATATATATAATCTGAGTAACAAATTTGACATTAAAAACAGATAATATGTCATTCATTGTTAATCAGCTATTCTTGTTTTGAAAATCTGTAATATATATATATTGTTGTGTGTTACTCTGCTTCTGTATTTTTTTTGTTTTTACTCTTCAAAATAAAAGTATAATAAAAAATTTAGTCAAAATGTCTTGATAATATATCAATGCATTTTTCCTGAAGTTTTTCAAATGACTATAGGAGACAAGAGTATGCTACTCCAAATCATGTCTCTCCAGCATACAGATTATAGTGAGTTGAGTATTTTGAGAAATAGCACACACAAGAGCTCTTAAGCCAGAACATACATTTCTCTTTTGGACTGGATTTTAAAATTCATACGGAAAATCAATCTACCTTTATAAAGATGTCATCCACTGTGGTGTATCAGAAGATGAGTCTTAACTCCATGACAGTCTTATGAAAGGAAAAGGTGCTGACTTTACTTTGCAGAACCTTAACTTTCTTTGTGATACTTTTCCTGGTAACTTCCACCTAAAGCCCCACCTCCCAACTGCAAGCTTTTTTACACTGTTTAACCCAAATCAGTATAGAAATCCAAGTTTCAATTGCCATTTTGAGTTACTCATCTGTGATTATCTCTCCATGTACACATGAGATACAAATGTTAATACACTTGATTAATCTTGTTAATCTATCATTCATTAACAGAGAATCTAGAGGTTAAAAAGAAAAGATATTTCCTCTTCTCTACATGGTCACCTAAAGAAAATATGGCTCAAAATTCAAGTTACTTTAACTATATATGTATCATATGAAAAATTTCCTTAAGCATGTTTATTTTACCATCTTCAGTAACACATGGAAGTTCCAGGAGGGGAATTATTTTCTGTGCAATCTGTGATGTTCCCAAAGAGGCAGATGTCTGAACCTGAAAGTAAAGCAACAGCCAATTGAAAAAAAAAGACTTCTATTCAAAGTTGTGAAGGCAATTTTGATGAAAAGACCATTCAATCTGAATTACTGAGTAGAAATTAGGTCTAAATTAGAATAAAAAAACTATAATCTACAATTTAAAGAAATGTCTTTATAATTTCAAAGCTAAAAATAGATGACAGAACTATTGTAATAAATTCCTGGATAACCTGAGTAGGAATAAATCTTAGATATATATTTAAGTTAACTTTCTACTAAGTAAGGAAACTACCTGGAGACATGCATGAGAAACCACAAGACCACTACAGCTGGAGAACTGCTTCATTTTTAAGTTTATGAAGATAGTTCAATAAATTTATTATCTTAAGAAACATACAAAAGCAGATGATACAATTTTTTTAAAAAGCAACACTGAAATTTCCAACTAGACCAAGAAACTAACACCGCTGTACCTTGCTCAAAAGAACCTTATGTGTTCCTCCTTAGCACTGATAATAACTTTGCTTTTATTTCTTTGTATTTAAGCACTTATAAATGATTCTCTTAACAGTATAATTTTCCTGTAAATGCTAAAAAAGGGGAATATCACATATTTTCCTATAACTTCCCTCAACTAAATAAAATTTAATCATATACAGAGATTATCAATTTTTTACTACTAAATTGTTTTGATATGATGAATAAACAAATGTTTATCCACCGTTAGTATAACTACATGGTTTTCAGATTTTTGTTTCTACTCCCAGAGCCAGAGACATTCTTGAGCATTCCTCACACATTCATGGGTGAGACTTTCTCAAAGGACACAATTATCTATACTGACCTTATTAATTACTACCAAATTCTTCTCACAACTGGCTACAACATATCACACTAAGAGCAGCATTAGCTTAGAGTTTGAATGACTCTATCATCAGAAATGTTCCTCAAAGACATTAAATTTTGTCAGTTTCACTGCCAAGGTCATGTTAGCTTTAATTACAATTTCACAAATGTATAATAGGTACACATCATTTCATAGGCTATTTATTTGCCCTTTTCTGAAATTCTGGGTTTTTGAGAAGGCAGCAATACTGTTATTAAACTATACAGAGAAGTATGTGAGCCTTAAGTATATAGTTCACTAACTATTCAAAAACTAAATACACTCACATGTTCCCCCACCATGATCCACGTGAAGACCTTACCAGCAACTCAGGAGGCTCCCTCATGCTCCTTGTAACCATTAAGCATCCTCTAGAATAACCACTATGCTACCTGATTTCAATTTTCAACATTTTGAAATTTTTATATCTACGGTCATGGCAGAAACTGGTTTATTATTTTCCTCTTTTATAATATACTTTGTAGATTTTAGAATATAGATTTTGCTATGCTAGTAAAATAGATTGACCAGCATTCCCACATTCTCTAAACTAGCCTGGAATACTTTTTATTATTATTTTAAGGAGACAAACAAAGTAAAAACAATACAGAATTTCAAAACAAGATAGGAAATTAACAATGGGTGTATTACATATAGTTACTTTCAAAGTAGTTGCTCAGATTACCAGGTACAGGGACACAAAATAGATTGAACAATACAAGCACTTAGTGTTCCTTTCAATGAATCAGTAGGAATTAGTAGTACAATTATCTTAGTTATCTATAAGTTATCTTATATATACCAATCTTTTTTTTAAACCTTCCTTTTCTCTTACCCTAGAATGTTTTTGAGCCAGCCTCCTCCCTAGTCAGTGCCCACCAATGATGCATGTATCAGTGTTTTTCTCTATGTATTCTACTGTATGAATACATTACTATTTTTATTCATTCACTTTTTGATAATCAGGTTTTTCCACAATTGACTTTTCCTATTTTTTGTTTGCTTCTTTGTTTGGAGACAAGTAATCACTAAATTGCCCAGGCTGGATTTGAAGCTGGAATCTTCTTTGTCAGCCTCCCAGAGTGCTGGTATTAAAGGAATGCACCAGCTGCTTAAAATTACAGGTAACTTTAGTATGACCATTTTAATTAAGTGGTTATGTTTTCATTTTTCTCTGGTAAAATTGAAGCAGAATTCCAAGTCAGTGGTCAGTATATATCTAACTTTTTTCAACAAAGGAAGGGTAACCATTTTTTGAGTTACAGTAACAGCATATTACGGGGGTTTTTGTGTGTACTCGCTTTTCATTTTCCACACAGCATTAAATTCTTATCCTGGCAGTACCATGACATGGATAGTGATCATTCTTTTTTATTTTTAGCTGTTACAGTCACTGCTTTATGGTATTTTCAGTACAGATTCATTTTCTTGATGATTCATAATGTTAAACATCTTTTCACATTATATAAAATTTAATTTTTATTAAGTCCATGTTATTTTTTATGCTTCATTTGTTCCTTTTATAAGATAGCTTTACCTACTGTAAGAATTTAATTAAATGTGGTTATTTAACATAAAACTTCTGAGTGTAGAGAAGATTACTGTTACATCTGGCTAACAAATATAATTTCCATAACTGGACAACACAATCCAATTGAGAAAAGCACATAAGATTTAGGTAGTAGTTTCCAAAAATATACTTGAAACAATCATGAAAATTAGGAATATTACTCATAAAGAAATACAAATCAACACCAGAAGATATTTTCTCAGAATAAATGCAAACAATTGCTGATATTTAACCTAATGAGAGCAAGGAAAAAGATACTCATTTACTGTTAATGGTGTAACAGTACTGCCCAGTTTTGAAGGGAAATTTAGCAAAATTCTAAAATTTAAAATTATATACTCCTTTGCTAAACAATTTGACTTCTGAGAATTTATCTTATGGATATAAAGTATAACCAAATATATTCACAAAAAATTCAATATGGCATTTTGCATAATTGTAAACAATTATAATATGAATATCCATCAAAAGTGAATATATTATTAAAAATGATATAAGCCACTCAACACGGTATATAACCATTAAAAAGAACTATGGAAACGCTATGGAGACAGTTCAGTGGTCTAAGTACCTGCCTAAGCAAACGCAAGGACCTGAGCTCTAACCTGATTCCCAGTATCACATGCCAAGCTGCCCCTCCCTGGGATTGCCTACCTAGCCACCAAGATCAGGCGTGGTGGCACACCCCTGTAATCCCAGTACTGGGGAGGCTAACACAGGAGAATCACTATGAGTCCAAGCTGCATAGTGAAATCCTGTACCAGATACATAAAATTAAAAAAAGAACTACATAGATACACTAACATAAAAATATACTAACATAAAAATACAGTAGTACCTCAGTTCACAAACTTCATTTATTCTATCATTCTGGAAAAGTCAGCCATGTTTTTGTTCATGTGTGAAGGATGGCTGTGGTCATGTTGGTCAGTGGATAGATTTCACAAACAAAAAAAATCCTGCCAAATTTTTTGTAAACTAAAGTATTCATGAACCACAGTATCACTGTGTCTCTAAAATATATTAGCATATATAGCAGTAATAGTGAAAAGAATACAGACTCAGAACAGTAAGTATATAAATACACACACGTGTAATATCACGTGCCATAAAAATCTGAAAAATGAGAGAAGTGTGGTTAATATTGTTCTTATTAAAGAGGAACTAGAGATTGCAGAAGTAAAAACAGAGTTCACTTTGTTTTTTAAAAATATTTGTATTGTTTACCTTTCCATCGATTTCTTATATAGTGTGAAAACAATTATAAACAATTTTATCTGAGGTTCTTGTGATTGTTTCAGATATTATTTGCAAAGTTTCTTTTTAACTATTTTATGAATTCTGAAAGTAACAATACCTGAAATGATTTGACAGGTGCAGATATATCAGTTACAGGTTCAGGTTTTGGAATGCTTTCAACCAATTCCATAATCCCTTGTAGTTTTTTATCTGAGACTCGCATGGAAACAAGAGGTAACTTTCCAGAAATCTTGAATCTGTTTTTAAAATACACGAATCATTATAGACGAACTTCTACTACAACTTCAGTATACTAAGACTGCATCCTCAAATTATACAAATATAAATTCAAATGTGACTTTTAGTGCTGAAAATCACTACTCTGATTTCCACCATAACTATGGTCTCTACTATTTGCCACATACAGATGACATTACTATTTATCATGTGTTTATTACATAATGGACAATGAAGAAAATACTTTAAGTGAATTGTTGTTAGTCCACATAGTCTAGGAAGCACTCCCAGACTAGTGGTTTCCTGCTGCTTATGAGTTCTCATATGTACAATTCCTTATAAAGAAACTAAAGGACAGAACAGTCAAATTAACTTGTCCAAGAGATCAGATGTCCAAAAACATGACTCAATATCAGACCTAGGTATTGTATTACTCTTTTATCTGCCTTGGTAGGTTCTTTTACTTATATTTAGCTCAAACTTAAAAGGAAGTGATCTAATCAGAGAACACCATAGGGACAGAAGGAAAATTCCTTGTCCCTTATGTGTTACTCATTAAAAGCATGATTTCTGTCTCCTTCGGAGGCTGTGAAAGACTTAAAAGCAATTTTTCCTTGAAAAGAAAAAGAAAAAAAGGTTCTTCATTGGACTAGAAATCCCCAATCGATGGCTTAAAAGTACAACAAATCATGGTTTTATTACTTTAAAACTTTATGTCAGATACCTGCTCAGCCCTGCAAATATGCTTGTCAATCAGTCCCGTATCTATACTACAAGGTTAATCAGCCCTAAACTTATCTAGTATAAGCCATCCTCCTTCAAGACTGAGGACACCAACAGCAACTAAGGTAATTTCCTTGATATGCAGGGATATGCAACTGCCAGCTTTTCCAAGACCCACTTTCAGAATCCCTAGAGTACCCAGAAGTCTCCAGTTATTATCCTAAACTTTCAGTATCCTAAGATTTCAGAAAAAGCACTATCTTGCAGTCTACCCCATGAAGAGCTCACCTCCCCAACTGGGAGCAATTATCCCACAACACACACCAATGCTATTTCCCCAACACCTAAGCATCTCAGGAGAAGTGAACTGCTCCTCAAGCTGTGAAGACTTCTGTGGAGCTACAAAGCCCGAACTGAGATAACAACCAATCACACTCTCCTCTCCCACCAGGAGATTCATAAAGACTGACCTCATTCTTTCATGAATAGTCCAATTTGAACCTTTTCACCAGAATATGCCCCATTCACTTCCTCAAGCTCAATCTCTTTCCCCCATTTCCTCTCACTTGCAAACTCTATCTAATCCATCTGCCTGTATGCTTCATAAATATTCATTCAAGGGCCTGAGTTCAATCCCCAGTTCCCCCCCCAAAAAAAATCAAATAACTTTAAATGATTTTATCTGAGGATTTAAAACAAGACAAATGCATAAAAATAATATATCTAAGTACAAAATATATGAAGATTTAAACTGCAACATTAATAAAGGGGGTGGAGTGAGAAACAAGTAACTGCTTATAATTAAGAGTAAGCTCATGTCAATTTTAAGCAGACTGTAGTAACTTTAGGATTTGTAGTACTTCCATAGTAAACACAAAAAATTATAAAATATGCAAATATGGAAATGACAAAAAGCTCAAAACATTTCAAAATATCAACTAAACACAAAGGAAGACTAACAAAATGGAGATACAAAACAAGCTCAGAGAAATTAAACTGACAAGAATAAGTCCTTTCCTATCACTATTTACTTTAAATATTTAAATTTATAATCAAAAGATATAAATTGACAAAATAGATTAGACAAAAGGATTTACCTACAGGCTATCTACAAGAGGATCATTTTAGTAGAACACACAGGTCAAAAGTAAAAGAATGCAAAAAAAACACCCCTGCATTTACATAATCAAAAAACAACCATGAACAAAGAATATAATTAAATAATAAAATGATATCAGGGTCAACAATATAATGTAACAGCATATATATGCAGAGTTCAAAAACACATGAATCTAACACTGATAGAACTAGGGAGAAATACAGATAGCTCTCTAATTATAAAAGACTTCAATAACCCACTTTCACTAATGGACAGAACCTAAGAGAAGATATAGTCATCTAGACATAATAGGATAATACCATATGATCACACTTGCACAAGGAACCTAAACTGTCAAGTTCATAAAGAAAAAGCAGAACAGATGTTGACAGGAGTTGGCTACAGTGTAGAATGGAACATTACTTAATGAGCACCAACTTTCAGTTAGGAAGATGATAAAATTCTATAGACAGACAATGGTGATAGTTTGCACTGTAATGTAAATGTACTCAGTGCCAAAAAAACTATACTCAATAGCTTAAGTAGTAAATTGTACTTTATGTTATATGTATTTTACCACAAGAAAATCAGTGAAATGGTTATTTCCTTAGCTATAAGATTACTGCCAAAGTGCAGAATTACATAATACAGACAAATACATACTTGGGCATTTTAATATCCATGAAAACCATTGCCTTAGAGAGTTCCACATTGACATGCATGGGTACCAAAATATGCTGTGTAGATACATTAAGTTTTCGCGCTTCTTTCCAATTCTCACCTACAGAAAACATATATACTTGATATTAGCATAATTTAATGTATAGAATATAAAATTATTAACACCTGACAATTACGTACCAAGTGAGAAGGGAAAATCATCCCATATCAAAATAATCTTAGGTATCTAAAATATACATAGTGAGAAGGTAGAATATTTTTCCTTTTATCATTTCTCTTTGGTGACTTCACAAGATTCTCTATGTTCTATTACAAAAATTGCTTATTAGCAGAACTTGCTGGTAGAAGCCTGTAATCCCAGCACTTTGGAGGCTGAGACAGGATTATTTTCAGTTCAAGAGCCAAAACTGGCCGAGGAGATGGCTCAGTGGAATAAGTGCTTCCCTGGCAAGCGCAAAGGCTGGGGTTCAATCCCCAGTTCCGCAAAAGGCGGGGGAGGCAAACTACATAGTGAAAGGAGCCTGCCTCAAAATTTGAAACAAAAACAACAAAGAGAAATGACTATTAAAAAATTAAAAAGGCTTCTTTCATAAGCAACACAGTTTAAACGAAATCTGTGCATCCACTGGCATAAGTAACTCACAGCACTGCCTTAAAATATAACCAACAAAAATTATAGATTCAAGTATCCAAAATATTATTGGTAAAGGAAAGAAAATACTTGCATAGGAACTTTATAATCCTATTTAAAATCCATACACAAATACTGCCATAAACATGACACAAGCATACCTTGTACACCTTGTACATAAACTGAGTATAACATTAAAAGAATACACAACAAAAAAGCAATAGTGTTCATTTCTAAGCAGCAAGATAAAGGATGATCTTTATTTTTTTGATTATGTAGATTTTCAAAAATAGCATATTTATAATTCAAAAAGTGACTTTCCACATCTATAACAAGATTAGAGCATTTCTCTACCATGGTCAAGGCCCCGGGTTCAATCACAGTTTCAGAAGGAAAAAAAAAAAAAAAAAACCTATACACACATACACATTCACTCAAGATTAATGGTGCTTATACAGTACAATGCATTTTTATATATAATGAAATATCAAATGACTCCTAACTCAAATTCCAGTCTTGAAAAACTAGCCAGCGAAATAGTAGATTCCTAGATGTAAGTAGTAAAATAGACGTTACTCTAATTTTTTCAGATTCTACTAGATAAAAACATATTTAGAAGCATGTGTTTTGGTATTTATCAAAAGATTATATGACAATAATATAAAGTAAACACAATGCCAAGAAATTCAATTATTTAAGAATAGTAATAATAATGTTTATCAAATACCATTCTAAGAAATTCCAATGATCGTCAGACAGTAACACAAATTTTTTAAATATGTAACAAAGATGTACAACTCACAGACTCATGGCCAAATAAATCGTTCAAGCATACTAAAATGTCATAATCTATTCCCTAAAAAATAATTTGTGGGCTTAAGCAAATACAGTTAGAAAAAAAGAAAAAATGATCCAGTCCTATATAAACTAACAATTTTAATAATGATTACTCTGGCTTTTCTATGTGTCTCCTTTCATCACTTAGTTCACTGTTGAATGATGTCAATGTTTACTAACACTACAGGGATTGAGAAGCAGTATGACAGAATGAAAATAAATTTGAATGAATTTGAAGTGTCCTAACTATTAGTGCTGATGTCAACTGAATTTGTAGTTCTGCTTCATTTAAAAATCTAGTTCTGCTTCATTTAAAAATCTAGAACTGGATCAGAGATGCTTGATTGGTACACCACATAGATTGGGATAACGGTATTCCTACAACAGTGACTGTCCTCAGTCTGTTGTGATGCCCTATAGCACGGCCTGTTAAGAGCCCCTAGACTGGATGCCTCTGGCATTGAGAAGCTGCTTCTCGCTAGCTAATTTTGTAAGACAAATATCATTTGCAATATGTGCTAACCTTTAGTTTAAGGTTAGGAAATAGTAGTATAAATCAAGATTTCTAAACTTTGCCTCTATCAACACTTTTTGTGGAGAGCTAACCTATGTAATCCACTGTAGGATGTTTAGTAGCATCCCTGACCTCCGCTAACTACAAGTTAGTAGTGGCCCCCTTGACTACTATGTGCACAAGCAAATATGTCTCTAGACACTGACAAATGTCTCTTGGAGGGTCAAACTCACTCCTAGATAAGATCGAGCAATATTTACTATTATATCTAATTTTAAAATACTGGTTTAAATGTATTTGAAAAAGTTTTAGAGAAAGTGTCTAAAAACTTATTAATAACTTCAGTAAAATCAGCAGTGCCTTTTATACATACCTATTCTACTATAAAGCAGTTGTATGCTTGTAAGCTGAACATCAAAGGAATCGTAAGCTCTATGCCTTATCTCTTCAAGGTTGGGTCCACCTTGCTTCACATCTGGTAGTTCCAAACGACTTTTACTTGTCACCTTGGAGTTAATTTTAATAGTTTAGATTATGCAAAATACTTCAAATGTAAGCACTATATAAAGATTTCAGTCTTTCAGACCTATAATATAAAATTTTAATAAGGAGAACGAACTCAGAAGCAGACATATAAGACTATTAAAAATCATTAACTATGAGAGATATGAAAAGCACCATGTAAGGGAAATTTTTACATATGAAGTTATGATTTCCATTTTTTTATATTAAAAGAAACCAAGATGGTCCTAGAAAATAATATTTTTTAACAAAGAGTTAAAATCTGGTTAAATCTCATTAAGAATTACAAGATCTAGGAGACAAATTTAGCTTAAAAATATTTCTCTACTACAATGACAGATACTGCAATGACAGATACTGCAATGACAGATACTTAGGTAACTTGATAATAAGTAAGAGAGCCCAGGGTTTAATACTGCAATAGCTGAATTTTAGTCCAACTCTGCCATTTACGTGATTCCCAATATTCTAAGTTTCTATCTCCCATTTGACATACTATGCACACTATAGTTTTTTTCACTTAAACATCCCAGACAGAGATCACTAAACCATAACAGAACATAAAGATTTTATTCATTCATATACATACATATAAACATTTTTTACATATGTCTGTGAAGCAGACATTTATCTGTCTGAAAAACAATTATCTGTCTGAAAGGTAATGAACTTTATATAACTGGTTAAGCAAATCACCAAATGTCACAAAATTACATAGATACTATTACCTTATGCTCTTCCTTCCGTACCATATGCCCTTGAGACAATTTAATAACCAATTTCAAATACGAATATAATTAGCTACATAAATTTTATTATAAATATAAAGCCAACTGGTCTACACAAGTATCAAGTACAGAGTAACAAGAAAGAAAAAGGAGGGGAGGTAAGAGGATGGTAGGGAAGGGGAAATGTACAGGGAAGGGGAGAAAGAAGCAAGCAATATTAAGAAAATGCAAATGATATTCATTAGGTAATCAGAAAAATCTTTCTAATAGTATTCATCTCCCTTAGGCCTTCAAATGGTACATATTTTGCCATATTTAATGATTTAGAGTAGTGCTATCCAACAGAACTTTTATGATAAAGGAAATGTTCTAAATCTCTGCTGTCTAACAGAATAGCCATTAACATTTGTAACTATTAAACTCTTAGATACATTAGCTAAGAAACTGAATTTTTATTTTTACTAAATTTTAATCATATGTGGTCAGTGGGTACTACACTGAAGATTATAGTTCTACAAACACACACACACACACACACACACACACACACACAAACCTATCTGCCACTTAAGTTGGAAGAAAAATAATTTATGTAAATCCAAAACAATCCATAAACTTAAGATAATGAAAATGATAAAATATCAATATTTATAGATATATGTATACAAAATTCTCAGAAGGCTGAGGATGGATTTAATTTTTGGACCTTCATTTTATATACATCAATCAAGTAAAAGATTTAATCTGAAAATGAAATAAACACAACACTCAAATTCTAAAAAAATATATTTACTTTGCACTTGGGTCTTTCAACCTTTAGGAATTTAGTGAAAAAAAAAAAAGTAAATTAATTAAAGAAACCTCACATTGGGTGGGCCAAACAGCTCAGTGGATTAAAGTGCCTGCAAGCAGGCTCAGGGGCCATGGGCTCCATCCCAAGGCCTGCCCTGCCAGCCCTGCCCCCAGGGTGCTCTGAGACAGCAATTGAGACTGGGCGAGGTAGTGCACACCTGTAATTCCAGCTCTTGGGAGGCTGTAAACAGGCAGATCACTACCAGTCCGATCTAGTAGTGAGACCCTGAATACCCTGTAGACCCTTCCCTAAAATACCAAAAAAAGAAAAAAAGAAAGAAACTTCACTTTATTCACCAAAAAGAACTAATTATAAAGCTAAAAATCAAGAAGTCAAATAAAACTGTCTAAAAACCAAAGTACTTTTTTAAAGAAACATCCTAAATATCATTTTTTAAGTGAAATACTACTAGTATGTACCTTTAGATGACCAAGATCCAAAAGAAGTAGATTTGATGTAGGGCTGAAAACTCCATCTTGTGGGACAATAATATACGAAGCCTTCAAATTAATTCTGAGATCAAGAACTTTCTGTGTTTCAATAATATACAGCAGACCTGCAGAAAATTCAAATCTTTGCAATATTCTTCATAAATACCCAAGAAATAGGGAATCTCTAAGCAAATGAATAATCTCAGAATGTGAAATCAGTATTAATATCATATCTAGCACCAATTTAAAAATAAGCATGAACAATATATTCCCAATATAAATTTAAATAGTACTGATCAATATGTATATTCTTTAATTTAGTACAAAATTGGAGCGTTTAAAAAAAAAAGCTTGAAGCCATAGACTCAATTTGGATAAAATTGGAAAGATATAAACCTTAAAAAAAATTAAGTGGTATGAAACATTTACAGCTCCTATTAAAATCTGTACAAATTCTTCCTCACTTATAAATGTTTCAGCAGAGCTGCATGCACTACAATTAATGACAATACTGTACTTGATCTTAGTTATTTTACTGAGACAATAAAATTAATGGGTTATCAATTCCTTATCAACAGAGTTCTCTGTTCTTTAGCTATTTTATTCACAAGATGCTTTTAAAAAATAGTTGCCAAAGCAATGTATTTTATGTTTGAGTCCAACATTAGTCTTTAAACCTAAATGAATTACATACAACCCCACAACATGGAAGCCCCTTTGTATAGAAAAAAAAAATTTGTAAATAGCCATTGAATCAGTTTGGTTGAACAGAGAATTTTTGCCTTATATAATTACTAAGAGATCTGGTTCTCAAACAGAAAAGTTTTCACAGACAAAAGAAGAGGAAAACTACACAACAAATAACAACTAGTTTAAAATATAAATTAAGAGAAAAATTGATACATAAAATTTTAAAAAGGTTGACTAAAAAATGGGAAGTCATATAATTCATTTAATATGTAACCCCTTATTCTATAGTCAAATTTCATGCACCTTGGCTGAACATTTTTTTTTAAGAGATCAAGATTAGGAAGGTTCACACAAGTACTGAATAAGAAGGAGAAGCTTGGCCGGGGGATAGCTCAGTAGAATAAGTGCTTGCCTGGCAAGCACAAAGTCCTGAGTTCAGTCCCTCATACTGGAAAAGAAAAAAAGGGGAGCTCTTCTTTTGAAAATTGACCTCTAGAACTACCTGGAACTGTTCTAAGTCCTATTTTATCATGATCTAGCTCTTTTCCCCAAACGCCAGATTTCAAAAAGAAATCATTCCATATTTGGTGAGTCCACATGAATACATAATTCGAAGGAATGTTTGAAAGTACTAACACAAGCCTTGTATGTTATTTGGATGAGAGCAGTACTTAGACTAAAGTGTCACCCCTTTGTGTGCAGGTTGAGGCACTCATTCTTAGCCTACACAGGTTTTTTTCAAATCAGATTTTAAGTTCAACTATAAAGTAAAGTTATAAACACTGAGAGGATTTTTTTCAAACTTTGCTGATTACTCTGGCTTTCATCTAAAAATCTAGAACTGGATCAGAGATGCTTGATTTGTACACCACACAGATTGGGATAATGGCATTCCTAAAACAGTGACTGGGAGACTATGGGGGGTAATAGGTATTAATAGATCATAATTTTGATCGTATTTCACTGGTACTTAAAAGTTTTTTGTCAGTCTCCAAACGTTGTCATATAAATGTGTTAAAATGTTAATATACCTCAATAAAGCCATTGTAAGATATATAAACTGAAGTTAATTAGGCCTCTAAGCATTTTAAAAATGGAAGATCTTAAGGGCCAGATTGTGTCTTGGAGTATGAATGTGTGTGTATGACTCACCCAGCAGATGAGAAACTTGAGTTAAACTGTTACCTCCATTTGAATACAGTCATGTAGGGGGTACTGTTTTGAGTTTCTTTGCTTTTGAGTTTCCAAGTCGTTTGGATCGCCATGGGAGTTATTTGATGATTTGTTGTGTGTGTTTATCTTTGTACTTTGTGCCACCTTCCATCCTTATTTGAAAAGATTTCACTGGAAAATGCTTAGTACAGATAGGTTCTTGGAAATACCAGCTCCACCCCATCTATCTTCTTCTCATTAGTCTTGCTTAGCTTATTTAGGAAGGACTTTTGAAATTTCCTAAAGATGATAATTTTGATACTAATTTCTTGTATTTCCAAGAAGACCTGGCCTCCACATAGGGCATTACATGTTTGTCTGTTTTGTCTTTTTCAGACAGGATTTCACTATGCAGGTTAGACTGGCCTAGAAATCACTTTATGGCACACATTTGCCTTGAACTCAGCAATCGTCCTGCCTCAGTCTCCTTAGTGCTGGGATTATAGGTGTGTGCTACCAGGCCTGGTTGTGTTTATATTTAGATGTATGTGAAACACAAGTATATTTAGAACTATATTCCTTTGCTGTTAGAGCAGTGGAAAATTCAAGCTTGTAGCCATTTGGCAACCAAGCTATCACTGTACATGCTAAAGAGTACATGTTCAAGCTGGGCATGGTGGGCTGCACACCTGTAATCCCAGTACTCAGGAGGTGGAAAGAGAGGAACAGCACAAGTTTGAGATCAGCCTGGACTACAAGGTCAGCCTGAACGACACAGCAAGATCCTCTCCGGAAAAAAAAAAAAAAAAAAATGACAGCAGTAACAACAAAAAAATTCAAATTTAAAAAAACTTTTAAAGGTACCTATAATAAATAATAAAAGGACACTCAAAGCCTTTATATTGAAGTGGATGCCACTTGAACACATACTCATAAGTGAAATAAACCAGACACACATGTGCAAATATCATATAGTTTCCCTAGTATAAGAACTCAAAAGAAGAAATACAAATAGAAAGGTATAATACAAGTAAAAGGAAAGCAAGTACTTGAGGACTAATTAAGAGAGGGAAAGGAGAAGAGCTAGGACACACGACAGTGGCAAGCCATACAGTTATATGTAGAAGATGGGCAAGGCAATGATCCTGAGAATCTTCAGAAGATTTTTGAATCTAGCAGTTAATTGGAAAGATTCTCACCCTGACTAACTATATATACTGACACCTGTGAACTAAATAACTGCACTGAAGATGGCCATTTGTAACAGTAGGTTCATGCTTGGAGTGCCTGTCATTCTGGTCTTCTGAATACAGGCTGCTTGTCATGACATACCAGTTGCTGCTGTGCTGTCTTTCGGGTAGATGACTGTTCAAAAAGAAGGGGGTGGTGAATGAAGGCAGGAGACAGGAAAAGAAATGTTTCGGACTGTCCTGTTTCAAGGTTGTATATAGTTAGATTTCTGGACTTATGTGTAAACATAAGAATTATATAATTCTTTATGCCTATTTTTAAAATATATTCTAATTTTTAAATGCCTTTTCATCATATTCTGCAGGAACTTAAAGTTCAACATATCCATACTTGATTAAAAAATACCTGTTCCATGTTATGCCTAAGATGTTTGATATTCAGACAGACAGTGAGGTTAAGCTTAACAGCCTAGGTTGTATGGTAATAACAATAAGCGTGTCTTCTGGAGGGTTAATAACCTAAGTTTGCAGACCAAAATCAGAGAAAAAGAAGGGTTGCAAGGAAAGCTAACGATTTGGCCCTAGCCTTCCAAGGTCAATTAAGACTCAGGACATATGAGAACTTGTTCTCTAATGTCATGTAACTCAGTAGTGTTCCAAATTTTCTGATCAAGGAGATTATGGGGCCAAAGAGGAAAGTGATCGATGATGTAGAGTGTGCCTAAGGAGAGACACATGGAGAGAAAACATTCTCTCAGGCTTTCATAGAGAGCACATTGGCCAAGCAATGGCCGTGACTCATCCACATGGTTGACACTGACAAAGGATCTACAATCTGAGGTACAGGATCTCAGGATAAATCCTGAGGGGATTTCACTGACCTTATCAGACCCAAAAGCTGCAACTCTTGTTGCATAGGTCTTGCTTTACCTTGGTCTTAACCATCCAGCAGAAAAGTATAAAAATGAAGTAGAAGAAGTAAAGCCATGATGTTATGTTGAGCTGTAGGGTACTCAGGTCAACAATTTCCGACATTGCCAGTCAAGCGGAAGACCCAATACTATTATGGACTACTGAACTCTTTTAGAATATTTTGCTGAATTAACACACCTATAATATTCAAATGATGGAACAAAAAAGGGATACAGATGAATGTCCATTTTGTATCTGTGTATTCAAAATGGATAGGATAAATAGTTACATTCTTTTAATGAATAGAGAGATTTGTTCTAATAGTGTTTGTAAATAGGATATCATGTCTGCATCTTATACAGCAAATAACCACTAGGAAGACAGTATGCAATGTGCTAATTATTGAAACTGTCCTACCAATTTGGTTTGAAACTGTCTCACTGCTATTTGTTTCTCAATAAAATTATGGAAAAAAAAAAAAAAAAAAAAGGATTCCTGAACTTCAAACAGCCAAAGGTACTTATGACACAAAAATGTTGTAAGAATTCCTCTGCAGCTAAATGAATTCACTGTCAGTTAATATTGAATGGTATGACCCAGAAGTGAAACCCATTTATTCAAAGCCTCAAGTCAAGCACAAATATATAACAAAAGATGGAAAACTATCAATCTTCAAGATGAATTTTAGAAGAGATCAGGTCTTCAACTTATATAACAAATTTTAACAAGACTTTCAAATCCTAGTAACATAGATGAACAGACAGCCCAATTTAACTCTGAATAATACAAAAACTGCTGGAAATAGAACAACAGTGTTTTTAAGAGTCCTACTTAAAAACCCTAAGAATTGGTAAAATAGTATAAGGCAAAAATCAAGTTAAAAGTTGCAAGGTAATAGATTTAAGATGAACCTACAAAATTTGTATTCTGAGACTATTTTCTGTATCTGGTACATTAGAGAATTTCTTTTCATAGTTTCTCAAAACAATGGGCAGAAGACAAAGATATGGAATCTAAGGTAATCTACTCACAGATCTACAATCACAAAGGATACCTACAGAAAGTAAAAGGAGCCCAGAGTTAAGCCTTTCTCTCCCTAAAGTACATGCACAGGAAATGCAAAGAAAGGATGAGAGGAACCTTAAAAAAGTAATAACCTTGTGAACTGTAATCATTATATGATCTTTATGTAGAAGGATTTTTTTTTTTTTTGGGGGGGGTGCTGGCTCAGGCTGCCTTAAAGGCACGTCTGTTGATGCATGCAGTGCTGGGGATAGAACCAAAGTTCCTTGCCCCTAACTGATTTTGCTCAAGACAGTGCTTTACACAACTGAGCTAACCCACAAGCCCCTCTATAGTCTTTACTAAATGCACAGCCCAACAATTCCTTCATAGTCAGGAATACCTAAAGCAATGCATTTACTTAAAGGATGACAGCAACATGGCCAGGATACCTAGCAGAAGAAATAATCTTCTAAGGAAAGCAAACAATACATAATTTAAAATTACCAAGCATGGAAAGATGCAATGAGGCATAGTAGTACATACCTGTGATGTGTATTCTGGAAGACTTAATAGGAGTACCCAAAACTCAGCCATAGCCTGGGCAACTTAGATTTTTTTTTTTTTTTTTTCTCTTAGGAAAGGTCTACAGGGTGTTCAGGGTCTCACTACTAGATTGGACTCATAGTGATCAGCCTTTTTACAGCTTCCCAAGAGCTGGGATTATAGGTGCATGCCACCACATCCAGTTTCAATTGCTGACTCAGTGCACCCTGGGGGCAGGGGTGTAGGGCAGGCCTGGGGATGGAACCTCTGGTCCCTGAGCCTGCTTGCAGGCACTGGGGATGGAACCTCTGGTCCCTGAGCCTGCTTGCAGGCACTTTAATCCGCTGAGCTATTTGGCCAGCCCTCTTGGGCAACTTAGTGAGACCCTGTCTCAAAATAAAAATAAACAAATAAATAGCTGGAGATGTACCTCAGGGTAAAGGCCTTATGTTCAATCTCCATTCCAGAGGCTGGGGGGTTGGGGGAATTAGTATAAATAAGTGCCATCAGAAACAAAAGACAGAAAAAAAAAAAAAGAAGAAGAAGAAAATCACAAGTCACCTCATGAAACTATCTCAAAAAGAACTGTCTGGTGAGAGAACATAAAATACAAAATGTATTCATGATGTTTGAAGAAACAGAAGTTTAAATATCCATAGAAAACAAAACTAAAAGAGAATGACAATAAAGTTTTAAAATCAATCATTTATTTATTTATTTATTTATTTGGTACAGGGTCTTGCTACGCAGCTTGGACTTGTAGTGATCCTCCTATCTCAGCTTCCCCAGCCCTGGGATTACAGGCATGCACCACCATACCTGGTTTTGGTGGCTGGCACAGCATGCAGTATTGAGGATCAAACCTGGGTATTGCACTTGCCAGGCAGGCACTTAGACCACCAAGCTATTTCCCTAGCCTGAACAATCAAATTTTAAAAAAGCAAAAATACTAAAATGAAAAATAAATTCACTAAAGTTAAATTTAATGTAAAGATTTAATAGCATATTAGACATGGTTTTAAAAAAAAAGATTTAATAACCTAGAAGTGGGTCAGGGATATAGCTCAGCAGCACAGTGTCGGCCTGGCAAGCAGAAGGTCCTGAGTTCGAGTCTTGATATCAAAAAACAAATGCATAAACTAGAAGATAAATTATGAGAAATTGCATAGCATGTAAGATACAAAAAAAATAGATACAAAGAAGAAAGAAAACAGGATACAGAAGTTTAGGGGGAAAAAAAAAGGAAGAAAGGCCCAAATTAGCCAGAATTTTAGAAGAGAAAAAAATATTTAAAGAGCAAGTATCTAAGAGTTTTTCAGATAGATTTTCTAGAATTCATTAACGATACTAGTATGCAGGTTTACAAAACTCAATAATCTCAACAGAAAAAAAAAGCAAATATACTGACACTTAGACACTGAAAAGCATGGAAACCAAAACACAGCAGACTGACCTATTTACTATGTTAAAAAGAAAACAGCTATCAACCTTTAATTCTACGTTCAATGAAAATATACTTCAGTGAAAGAAAACAATTACATGATGGAGTAATAAAAATGCTTTACATCTGAAAAGCAACTTAAAAAAAAATGGGTTGTCCTTATATTGTTTGATTAATCTTTCATGCATATTCCTTGCAATCTGATCAATTATTTTAAAAATAATATTATGCAATTTATTAAGCATTGTTAGCCT